GCTTATCTTGCGGTGATAGTAAAAATAGTTTCATGAAGAAACTAGGCGGCAAAAAAAGTGAATAAGGCTAAACAGAATAAAAACATTGATCATGGAATGATAAATGTTGATCCTGTAGAAATAAAAGGACATCAAAAGAAAGGTTATTGTGGTGAAAAGAAAAACAAAGCAAGAAAGAAAATTGCCATATTAATATTTGAGCCTAACTTGGTAAAATATAGGTATAAACATGGTGGATGGATTCGGGTGTGATCCTACTTGCTTCTTGTTTTTCAATTGACTCAATACCATCCGAATAAAATCGTGTTTTGGTCAGAGATGATTCATTTATGTTATACACAGGATATTCGGGAATGTCTCTCAAAAGAGATTTGAACGCTTGGTCAATGATGAGATTATCAAGCTACAAATTTTATGCGTTGGTTGTGTCAAAGGACAAATACTAAGAAACGTAATTTTGAGGCTACTCAGTCATTTGGTTTTTAGACTATATTTTTACCGACATTTGTGGTCCATTTCTTATTGTAACTCGTTTGCAACAAAGGTATTTCATTATCTTCATTGATTGGTTCTCAAGGTATGATTGTGTACTTAATTCACCAGAAGTCCGAAGCACTTGATGTGTGTAAAATCTATTAGACTAAAGTTGAAAGTAGTTGGTATAAAGATTATGGTTTTAAGATCAGACTAATGTGGTGAGTTTTAATAGGAGAATGATAAGGAGGGTGTAAATAGTAGTATTTTCAATACATACTTAAAGAGTAGGGCATTGTGCCACAATACACCATTCCTAGTTTTCCTGAACAGAATAAAGTTGCAGAAAATGGAAAGTGTAGGGATATCTTATAGAGACATAGTTATATAATGCAGATATTAAGGAGCTTAATACTCAAATTACCAATGATTATTTTATTAGACATCTTGAAAGATTAAAGAATTCGAGATTTTACTGTCCTGTAAACCTATGGAGATTATTGGAATATGTCATGCATATTTAATGAGAGTGGTGAATCCAGTGGGAGTTTAAGATATTGTAGTTTCTTTTTGCAGAAAGGTATTTTCAGCATCTATTCTATTTATTCCAGACTTCATTTCACTTTCTTTAGTGGTTTCAGTTAAAGCTCATATTCCTACTCTTTCAGTTATTTCTCCTTTGCAGACCTTTCTTTCAGTTTCCAATCTAGTTCCTAAGCCAGTTGGTTATTTTGAGATGTCTAGTGGATATAAGACAAAAATTGATGGCCAAGTGCTTAAGCAAAAGTTAAGTGTTGATTTCTTTGAGATTTTCTCTAGCTTAATTAAAGGACTTTTTAAGAGTCATTCTTTCATTATCACTCATTTATGGATTAAGTAAGTTTTAAAGCAGTAGTATCCAAAATTTTGATATAGTGGTTACTAATTGTAAGTTCAAAGAGAATGTTATGGATAAATGCATATACCTCAAGTGCAGTGAGAGTCATTTTGTTTTCCTTGTCCTATATGTTGATGATATTTTGCAAGGTAGCAATGACATTCACGTGATACATGATATTAAGAATTTTATGTAAAGTTTTGACATGAAGGACATGGGTATGCAAAGTATGTCCTTGGCTTTAGAATCCACATAGATCATGCTACTGAAATATTTGGACTTTCTCAAAAGGCTTATATTAATTAAGTATATGAAAAATTTTAACGGTGACCAAACATAGTAAGCCCATTGACATAAAGTTCATTTTCAAGCATGAGAAAGTTAAGGTTTAAGTGCCTTTAAGATTTTCCCATATGGTTACAGAAAGATTGTTACATGTCCTCTCACTAAAGGTCTTCAGCCAAAGATAATAAAGTATTTATAAAGCACGTGATTCGGATAGGTGTTCGAGAGTCATTATGTTATGATGTCCGGTATTTCTTTTATATATACTACATTGCAGTTAGTTTGTTTACGTCTTGTGGTGACATTTATTTTTCCTCTAGTTTACGCCTTATGGTGACAGTTATTTGCATCCAAAATAAAGTTATGATGCATAATTATTATTATCTTCATATATATGGTTTATGCACGTGTTATTATGTTTGTCTGGAGTTATATTTCACTCATGAGGTTGTTTGGGTTAGATGTAAGATTGACACCACATCGATAAATCCAAAATAATTATTAAAGGTTGTCTGAGAGTGATAATTCACTCATACGATTATTTGGGCTAGATATGAGATTGACGCCATATCGGTAAATCTAAATATAAGATTTGTCTGAGAGTGGTATTTCATTCATAAGGTTGTTTGGATTAGATGTGAGATTGACACCACATTGGTAAATCCAAACATAAATATTAAATTTTGCTTATGGGAGTTTTTTCACACTCCAAGAGGATAACTTGGGCTAGATATGGGATTGGCTCCATATCGGTAAACCCTCACACTGAACAAAAGGTTGGCGGTTTGCTGTAATATGTTCAGGTGACATACCGTGATGGTATGAAGTAGGATGGATAGCTTGGGTTAGATATGAGATTGGCTCTATATCGGTAAACCCTCACACTGAACAGAAGGTTGGCGGTTTGCTGTAATATGTTCAGGTGACATACCGTAATGGTATGAAGCAGGACGGATAGTGAAGTGTGCGTTTAGACCCCATGCAATTTGCACATCTCATGAAATACAGTAAAACCACTATATTTGCTTGAATCCTAAATGGAATCAGTTTTGAGACCATGGAACTGTTTAGACTAATATATTACTTGTCTACGCATTCATGATCCACTATTGAGGAAATTTATGGAGGATAATGTTTTAAAGTTTCAATCCATCAATTTCGATAATTGTGTTTTCTAAATAAAAATGAGTGGCCACTCGACTTTTATAAAGTGTGTTGCAATCCATAGTGTCATTTTATAAAACTTAGAGTGCATGGACCAAGTGGGAGATTGTTGAAATTTTTATATATATATTTAAATAATAATTATTATTTTATGGTCCTATGTACTACGTTTTCTAAAATAGGATTGCAATGTGATTATTGATACTTGATGGATTGGGTTGTACTTTCCAATTTGGTGGTCTAATTGAGAGTATGGTTTTATACCATTGGATTATGGTTTTTCCAACTTATTTGGTGTGATTTAATTCTAACCATTGATATCCAAGTTTCCATGATAGGAAGGGAGATTTAGATATGCTTGTTTATAGAAAAGTCGTCCCCTCATATTGTTGTTATATATAAGGGTTTTAAAACCCTTATTCAGTCCTATCGTATCGATAACTTTCAAAAGGGGGTAAAACGCTCTATTTTCAGATCTCTCAAAGGGCGATAAGGAATTATCAAAAGTATCAAAAAATTTAATTTTCTAATCAGGTATGATATTAAAACCTCTCTTTAATTTATGATCAATTTTGATTTCTACATGTTATTTATTTATTTTTAAACCCAACATAATATTCTAAAAGTGTAAAAAAAATTTTTAATATATATATATTTGTTTTTCCATTTGATATATATACATTAATTTATAGCTTTCACTAATATACACACATACAATAATTAGTTGATAGATCATATTCATAACTCCCATCTCTCCATTACTAAATTTTCATTATTTTTCTTAAAATGTCAGATATTTCTTAACATTTTTTAATTTTTTTTTTCATTTGATATATATACACTTTAATTTATTTATTTTATTAATACACACACATATAATAATTTGCTTATGGCTCATATTCATAGCTCCTATTTCTTCATTACTAAGATTTCATTATTAATAAAGGTGTAAACATTTAATAACTAATCCTACATTTTTTAAACTATTTAAGTTTTAAATTAAATTATGAAATTTGAAAAGGTTACAACCCACACGTGACCTCACCAATTTAATGTTTTCACACCCCATGACCTTAATAAGCTCCGTCTAGATGGATGACAACACAAGCACAATTTGCAGCACTACACAACTCATGTCGTTTTTAAGAAATTTTTTGTCCACTGATTTATCAAGGGCACTTATCTTTTGTACAACCCACCAACCGTAGTAGCAAAGTGTTACAAGGGGCCACAGATAAAAAAAAATAATAATAATAATTGGGTATAAATGAGTGAATATATAGCACTACTTAACATCTTGAGTTTTTAAATAGATGGACAAGTGCCGACTCATTACAGTTGGTATCAGAGTACCTAATCCTTAATATGGTGTCACGCCAAGCGCCCGACCCAAAAGGCGTTCAAGTGAACTACCCCGAGTAGGCACGCACACAACTAAATATTACAAAAGTATAACACCCATTGAGAGGAACATATACGTGTCAGGCACTTCTTAAATGTGTTCATTATTTATAAATAATTTTTATTATTTCGAGTATTTGACCGATACATTTTGAAAACTTGGCCGACACATCTTCATACTAGTCGACACATTTCGAACACTCAACAAATACATATTACACTCTTTTTCTTCCATTAAAATAAGCATGCGACACTCCTGAAAATAACATTATGAATATACTTGTTTAACCTCTAAAGAAACAAATATATTGCTTAATGCTTGTATTCGAATAGGGTCATCTTCTGAGTATAAAAATTTATACTTATATTAGTTGTGTTTACATTCTGTCTCTTATTCTTTAAGAATTTGACGCGTAAATACATTCATATCATATTGAAAATGTATCTAGTTGGTATTTGTACTTCTTAAAATATAAACATTGGAAAAGCCAATGTCAAGAAAGTCGAAAAGCTAGAAATTTAAAATTTACAACATGACCTTTACACCATAGTGCTTGTGCGTAGCCACGTCACCTTATGCAATATCTCTTGAATTTTGTTTCTTGTATAACTTCAATTATATATTATTCATATAATGGTTAGGGGTAAAAGTAATATCTTTAATTTGGTGCCCCTAATCCTAGCTCTTCTACCATTGCCCTGCAATTGGATAGTGGGATCGCTCCATCGTAATAAAATTACTTCACTATAGTTGTCTTTCTTGATCTTATTAGTTGTAATATATGGTGGAGGACAAAAATTTTAAACATCTCGTTCTTGATCTTATTAGTTGTAAATATATTGTGGAGGACAAAAATTTTAAACATCTCATCCTTAAAAAGAGAAGGTTGAGTGTTCAAGTATGCTCGGGACAATATAGGTGTGTCTGCAGGAAAAAATTAAAAAATAAGTCACATAACCAAATATATATACTTAGATCTCCAAAGAAAATTTATTAAGATGCATGTAACAAGAAGTATGACTATCCATTTCTTCATATTTGTACACACACACACACATATATGTCTTCAAGTGTACTCAACGAGCTAGCTCCGGCTCAAACAAGTTTTTCTCGCAGCGGTGGGCAAATTATCTACATGATAGAGCAAGCATTTGGATTCTCATCACTGAACATGGTGGTGTACTGTTCTTCCACTGTGCTTAAAGAAGAAATGGCAGTGTCCTCAGTTTTCCTAACATAACCAGGAGGTGCCTTCTTGTCATAAGCAGGAGCAACATAAGGATGGGCCACCAAATTGTATGGAACATAAGGCCAAAGCTCAACCTTTTTCTTTGTAGACTGAGCCTTCTTCAACACTTTCTTGGCATCAACATTTCCAGTTACACTTGCCTTCTGCTGCTTTAAGTTCACATCCACAGATTTCACTCCTGCTCAAGATAAAATCAACAATGAACAACTTACATATAAATTAAGCAAAAATCATGTGTTGTGTACATGAAAAACTATCTTTAATCTACTCGAACTTAGAAGGCATATTCATCGACTCCATGGAACAATAAAAAAAAAAAAAAAGAGGAGGTTGAGTGTTCGAATCCTAAGTTGTTGTGTGTTTTTGCTTGAACTTTCGAATATAAAAATAAATAAAACCAGCAAAGTGAAAAAACTAATTAGAAGGGAAAAACTAATACCTTTGAGAGAAGAGAGTGTTTTCTTGACTTTAAGTGCACAGCCTTCACAGTCCATCCTAACTTTGAGGTCTACAGTTTGCAATATCTTCTTTTTCTTTCCTTTCTTTGCACTGCTCAGCAATTCAGAGAAATACTCCAAAGTCCCAGCAACTCCCATTTCTTTTCCACCTTCTAATCACACTTTGAACTTAGATAAACTTAATTAATTTTGTAATAATATCTATATATATATATATAGGATAAACTTTTGCAAGCTTAAGGGATTAATGGACTCTGAAGTTAGACTGCAAGAGAGAGAAGTGTAAAGAGAAGAGAGGCTGAAGGGTGACAACAGAAGAGACAAATGGTCTTGATGGTTAGTATACACACACACACACATATATATAGACAGAAAAAAATTATTGGGGTTTTGAGACAAATACTTATCATATGGTTTTGAGTAAAATAATTAATGAAGTGGGGTTCACATAGAAACTGCAAGAAACTTCGATTCAACCTTTGGATATTCCTTTCTTAATAATTACCAGCTCAAGGAAACAAACCTAAAAGAGAAAAAGGCTATAAAGGCTGATATACATCTCAAACCCCTTTTAAGCTATTCTGAATTATAAGAACTCTTCAATGAAAAACGTTCTTAAAGTATTATTCATTATTATTGGACAAATCAAAAGGTGGTAGACCTCTTAAAAAATGAAAAAAAAAAAATTTTAATTAAATGAAACTAGTATTACATATATAGCTTATATATATAAGATAATATTGTAAAAAAGTACAAAAGAACCGTGTTATATAGTGTAGGAACAACTATAATCACTTGTACATGTGAGGTCCTCTGTTGAGAATTTATAATTCAAATTACATGTATTAAATTAAAAAGAATTTCATGCTTGAGGCATACGAAAGGTAAAAAGTAAACCGGAAGATTGACAGCTATATGCATAGAAAGAGACCCCTCCAAAGTTTTGAGACAAAAAGATTGATTTCCAATATGCAAAAAGACTAGTAAGTTGCATTATATGGTTGATATGGATTTAGATGTCATCAGCAGGTGCCACGTGTTGAGAGATAGGATGACACGTGGATAGGGATGAAAATAGACCTTTGATCTGGGAGCCACATGGCAGTAAACTTTCAAAGGCGGAGTAGGTAGTAGTTTCAACTTGCATACTTCAAAAGGGTTTTGTATGCTAGTGGTTGTCCGTTGTGAATTGATGGGTTCATGGGCGGTGGGACTGTAGAAAAAAAAAGAACCAAGAAAGAAAAAATAAACCCAAAAAAAAAAAGGTTAGGCACCTGAGACAGGTGGCACCTAAGATGAGTATTTAAAAGCATCTTTTTGAATTGTATATATTCAAACTTGCCATGACATTGAAAAGTTTGAGATTGGAACTGTCAATTCTAATAGTGTTTCGTTCCTTCAATGTAGGATGTCAAAGTTATAGAGTACAGGTAAATTGCAAAAAAATTCCTAAATTATTAGAGTTCTGCAATAAACTGTCCCTGAATTACAAGAAATTTTTTTGAACTATAATTTTGTTATAATTTATTCCACCACGTCAACTTCAGATGCTGAAAAAATAAAAAAAACCAATTTACCCTTTGTACACACAAATTTTGTAAGTCTGCAATAGAAACAAAGTATGGAGCAAAATAGAATTTTATTAATTTATGAATGTGGAGTACAGTCCTTTGTAATATCTTTTACAAAAAAAGAATGGTCCTCTGATTCGATCTCCTTGTTTTTGGTTGGTTGGATCCAAGGGCTGCACGAACTTATTCTTGAATCACTGTGGAATTTGATGAAGAACGGCACGTTGTTGGATGTGCTTGATGTTCTTCGCTTTTGGGTTTCGATTCTGAATTTGTGTCTGAATTCTGAGTCTCTGGATTTCTGAGTCTCTGAACTTCTGAATTCTGAATTTGTGTTTGAATTTGTATACTTCTGAATTCTGAATCCTCTCCCCTTTTTTTCTTCCTCCAAACCTCTATTTATAGGCTTCTTGAATTAATAGGATGATAACACGTGTCATCTCCTAATAAGGATAAAATTATAACTGGGTCGGGCCGGTTATATTGTGATAATTATCCTTAAAGATAATTATTCAAAATATATTTTATTAGGAATAATTATCATTTCATTTAATTATCTAGGCTGGGCTAATTAAATAATTTAAGTGGACCAAGCCTGGTAAATTAAATAATTTATTTAAACATTAGGCCTATATTTAATAGGTCCATTCGTTAAAACCAAAGCCCACTAAATTTTAGTGTCTACAAATTGCCCCCACTTCAAGTCCCAATTTTGACAAGACTTGTCTCTTTTTCCAAGTGGGACTTGAAGTTTCTTTTTTTTTTTTTTTTTTCCCATCTTAATTGTACTTTCCTATTTAAATTGAATTGTCCAAATCCCAATACAACTTGGAGGTATCTTGTTGCCTATATATACCCTCAATATTGTAGGGTTTGATATCAATTCCAAAAATCTCTGAAGACTTGTCAGATCACAAATAATTGGTACATGTGTTTCTTCTTCTTCTTTTTTCCTTTTTTTTTTTTTTTTTTTTTTCTCTCTTCTCTTCTCTTCTCCACGCTGGCCTTTTTTTTTTTTTCTCTCCACGTATGCAGGAGAACATATATATATATTTTTTTTCTCTCTCTCTCCACGCACGCTGGAGAATATTTTTTTTTTTTTCTAACCCCTTTTTTTTTCTTTGCAGGGCTTGATTGGGTATAACAATTTGATTTGTGTCAACCATAGCAGAAATTGAATCCTCCTTCTAGACAACACCGATTTAAGCTTTGGTATCCATCATGGTGGTGTTCAAGTGTTTCGCAAAGCAAAAGCTGACTATCTTAGAGAGCAAAAATAGTCAACGAGTCCAAGGAACGACATTAAGTGTATATGACTCACTTTTTGGTCGCAATGCTATTCAAGTGCCTGATTCCAATAATAAACATTGTTCATCTCATTGGACATGCACGGCCACATGCGAACTCACCGACTTTGGTCCTGATCAGATTAATAAAGAATCTATTATCTCTAAAGCCTTGATACTAAATTCTTCACTTCATGAGAGAGTTGTTGAAGAAAACCAGTTTTCACTATTGGGTCTTAATGTTCAGGCGAAGGAAATATCATGGAGTATTCCCTATAAACTTCCTGCTGAATTGCTATACACCGAACTATATTGGGAGTGGTTAGAAGATGTCTTGGCGCGTTTCCACGACTTTTTATCAAAACAACATCTATATGGTGCTTTATTCGCCTCCCTATTTTCCTATGATTGTCATGAAGATGTATTCAAAGTATTCCTTGAATGTTGGTGCCCAGCCACTAATACACTTCATTGTTCTATTGGCGAGCTATCAATTTCTCTTCGAGATCTATATATGCTAGGTGGTCTCCCTCACCAAGGAACAATTTATGATGAAATTATTCCTTGTGCAGATGAACTATCAAGAGCTGGCAACAACAAAAATTCTATCCCTTTAAGTTGTCAACACCTATTTTTGGCCTTCCACAGACTTTCCAAGAAGTATAAAGGAGATCAGAATGTGAAGATATCTGACTGGATTAATTTCTGGTTTAAAGGTGCATCAAGACATGCCAAACCTTCAAAGAAATCAACAAAAAATAAAGTTCACCGCCCTATGAGGACTCAAAATCCGTCTGGTGTGATCTCTCCTGTTCGGTCGATGTCCACCAAAGAGAAAGAAGTATTTATCAACCTTGGTGTAGATGAAACATCGAGAGACACCACTTATCTAGCTGCTTTTTTAGCATGTTGGCTCTGCAAATTTGCCTTACCTGCACACCCTGGCAACATAATTCGTCCGGGGACTTTCAAGGTCGCAAGCATGTTAGCAGATGGCTGCAACATTTGTCTTTCCATCCCGGTTCTGGCTAGTATTTACAGAGGCTTGAACGAGATTGTTTCCTCACCAGATCCTGGAAGCTGCTCTGCGATATATCCTATTCACTATGTATTCGGATGGTTGAGTGAATATTTCAGAACTAATTTCACCATTCCTAATACCAACTATTGGCCTAGAATGACATTATATGCAGGCGAAGGAAGAGCAAGATACTTTGACCATTTTGAAGCCCAAAATTTATTCAGATCATGTAAAGGAATAAACTTAACTCGAATGGCTAAAAGATCTTCAAAAGAGCGACTTATTGTAGATAATGGCGAGATGATAAAGGCTGACTTTGACACCCTAATCAATCTTCGATCATGTTATTTGACACTGCGCCAAAATGACCGTCTTATCATTGAGCCGTATAGTCCACACAGATTTAGCCGACAATTTGGGTACCATCAAGATATTCCTGGAAAATTAAAAAATGACTTTCGTACTTGCACCTTAGAGGAATTTTTAAAGCATCGAAACTCATCCGTTCATTATTCTTCTAGTTGTGATGCGTTGCTTCCTTCAACCTTAAACCACCAAAAATCCTCAATTACCAGAGCATATGCCAAATGGTGGTCCAACGTATATATTGATCCATTTACACAGAAAGAAACTACCTCAAAGCAATCTAAACGCATGATTTCCCCACCAGAGAAACCAACTAAAATCAGAAAGGTTTTAATTAAGGGGCTGAAGTCAAATCTCCTATCTAAGCCAGTGCCAAAGTTAACCATCAAATCTCATAATGATTGTGACGTTGTTGGAGGATCTAGTAACCATCACCAAACAGCAAAAGATGTCCCACCACTAATCAATAACCGTCGCCATCGTCAGTTGTCAATGGAGTTAGATGAGGATGTGAAAGCTTATGATGAGGATCGTAACTGGAAGCATGTCACCAACAAAGTGAGACTTGATTCAGTACAGGAATATGTTGCCACTTCTCTTGATCAATTTTTTACTGGGGTACCTAGCAGTTCACAACCTATACAGGTAACTGTTATTTGATATATATATATATATATATATATATATATATATATATATATATATATATATTTGTACTACAAATTACCATTATTTATTATTATTATTTTTTTAATAGATAAAAGACAGCAAGGGATTTCTTGGGGAAGATGTCGTCATTGTTGCTAACCCAACATGTAGTGAAGAATCTATTTATGGACCGTCTGCCTTAGAGTTGGCCACTGCGATAGGAAAAGGTATAGAAATTTCACTACAAAGAAGCAAAGTTAGTCAACACTTGGATGTTTTGGGGGTTGCTGAAGTGACTAGTCAAGCTATGGAGGTGGTTGAAAATATTGGTAAAGATCATGTAGTTATCCCTTCTTTGATTTTAAGAGAACAGGGTCCACCCTTGCATCGTGTTGCCCCTTCTGAAATGTCAATTTTTAATGCGGAAGAGATCGTTCTTGATGTTCATCGTCATGCTCCTTTATTCTTTATTGATTTTATAAAGAATATTATACGCGATACTCCTACCGATAAAATACCGTCTCGAGCACCTAAACTTCAAACACTTTATGAAGGACTCGCAAAACTCCCTGGAGACCATTCAGCTTTGAAGAGGCTAATTGAGTCATATA